GATGCCTTATCAATCACAAACATCTCAAAGCACTATACACTAATAACCATATTATCTGGCAAACAAAGCAGCTATTTTGTGCACAGGAAGGTTCCACCATCAGCCATGAAGTGAATAATAAATCTATCTGGAGAACTGTTAGTCTGAATACGAAGAGAAACTCCTCTTTTTGAATAGCTTGCTAAAGATCTTGTTTTAACGTCTTAGTTGAAGGACAGCTCCTCCAGCAATAAAGAGCTCTCCCAGTAGTAGACCTGCGATATAGACTGAGGTCAAGTCCTACGTTTGACTATAAATACAGTCACTTCACTAGCCAACAATTACCCGTGAAGCACTTCAAGACATTTTAAAGTTTTGCTTTTCTTTTTCAAATACAAGGATAATAACTGATGAAAGAGAATTAGCAGACAACTTGCCTAAACGGTCCACGCACACCTTACAAACTGGTCACTAAGATTCACAAACTTCCCCCAAGGTGCCACAACTGATGTTTTCATTCATTCCTTCCAGCCTCTACTCTGGGCTTGCTGAGTTTAGGAATGTAACTGCCCAGAGAATTATGAAAACAGTAAAACTCACATAAGTCGTATCAGTCGGGACTATAACATTTAATAACTTGCACGAAGCACGAGTTACAGCCAAACTTGTATAAATCAGATTTTATACAACTAATACATAACAGTAAACAAAGTATTAGCCCCGTTTGATAAATTGGATAAACGGCTAAATTGTAACAGCTTCATGCTCCCAAATAATCCTAAATCATCTCCTAACTCGTAACTCTCTGTCACACTTAACAGTACACATTGAAGTACGCATATGCAGTGCTCTGCTTCAAACAATCCGTCACCATATCTGCACTTACGAGCTGCATTGAAGTACACATGTACAGTGTTCTGTTTGAAACACAGTCACCGGTTTCAACGAAGTACACTGTTCTGGGCATGCAGTACTTCATCACTGCAGCTAGTGACGGGTCAAAACTGCGACTGCTTTCAAACAGAACACATGTGTACTTCCATGCAGCTGGTAAGTGCGGATACGGTGATGGGTCATTTCAAGCAGAACACAGCGTATGCAGATTTCAATGCAGCTGTTAAGTGCGGTAGCAGGTTACGAGTTAGATGATTTGCAAAGGATTTAGGATTATTTGGAAGCATGAAACCGTTACGATTTAGCCGTTTATCAGATTTATAAAACAGGGCTAGTGCAAAGAAACCTAAGTGTTTTTTTCGTAACAAACTGAATGGATGAATATACGACTTTAGGCAATTGTATGATTTATAAAGAGACAGCCCATGCAAGTTTTACTGTATTCTAGCACAGAAAGATATATACAGACTTCAATCGCAGCCATGGGAATGCAAAAAAAATGAGCTGAATAATGGGACAATTGTTTATGACAAAACAAAGGACCGATTTAGCCCAGTTTTCACAAAAGAGAACGCGATGACAAGGTTATTTTCTGCCTATAATAATCATTACCTTTTGAAGGTGAACCAAAGAGAAATGTTCTCCACTGATCCACAAATTTTGTAACAATGAAACACAATGCAATTTCCTTCTGCGCAAATCATTTACTCGTCTACTGAAGCAGTATCGTGACCTATTTAGACTGTATTCTGCATCAAAAAGAAAACTAAACAGTAATATCTTTAAACAATTCCAGCCATAGAAGGGAGTAAGTCAATGAAGAACTGCATTTCAAACTCTCAAACTCATATTTTCCAAAGTAGACATTTAATCATTCAATCTGCATTTGACAGTGGGAAAACTTCAGACATTTTCTACAATTTCAGGTGCAACTTCTTTGGCAACAAGATGATTCCTAATGGTGAAAAGCTAGGGAAAAGCTGTGAGGATCAACTGGATAATGACTCTTCAGCCTTGAAAATAGACACCTTAAAAGAAAGCCTTACAAAAGATGTTTAACTGCATCAAGAAAATAAACAAACAATTTTTTCACCCCAGAGAGTTTGTTCTGCCATTTTTTTTAGATTACACAGATCTTTCAATCCAATTTGCTTGCCTTTTCTCCATATCCCGAAATATGCTTACATACCGTGTATAATTGATTCAGTATCTATTGAGTCTGGGTAGTGCATTCCTTTCTCATGCCCTTTGTGTGAAGAAATGAGACTTGGGTGGATGATTTGGAGGAATAACAAAACAAAATCAAATGAACTTCTATTGTATCTTACGTTATAATAGTTCTATGCCGTACAAGGTCATCATGCCCTTCTTAATGTGGAGTCCTGCAGCTCAGAGCACTCACTTTGCAAGCGAGAGACCTAGATTCGATTCCCGGCAGGGCGAAACCTTGGGCAAGTTTCCTTACTCCACACACCTAATAATAATCCCTCAAAAAAAAATTGGTCATTTCAATCCACGACTGTTTGTGGGACACTGTTGTGCGCAATTGGCTGCCACATTTCGCCCACAAATATATACAGTCTATTCACTTTACAGTCTATTCCGTGAAGTGCTTTGAGACGTCTAGAAGACGTGAAAAGTGCTATACCAAACGCAAGGATTATTATTATTATTATAGGTGAATACCAAAGTCAAAAAATGAGGTTTGACCAGAAATCCACACAAGTTCAGTTCAGACACTGGGAAATATTACTTTGCACAGAAGGTAAAAACAGCCAGAATGGATTATCAGTAAGGGTGTTTTATACCAAAGCACTGTAAAAACAGTGAAGATCCAGAAACTCTATTTAATTAGACAAATCCCTTCTTATGGAATGAAAGATCAAGGAACATTCAGCAGAGGACAATCAAGGAATCCAGGTACACTAGTTCATTTTAACATATGTTACACCAAAAGACATATCAGATTGAAGGCCCAAATAGGATAAAATTGGTGACCTACATTTTACATTGGTGCTTATCAAGTATGGGTCACTCTTTTGATTGGACTCTCCGGTCTTCGTCGAATTTGGTCCAAAAAGTCCGCCCAAGTTACAGGACATTCCCATTATTCTTTAACGTGATGTGCCCCTAGCATCATCAGTCATGTGATTTCTCAAGCAGGCTATCATTTTAAGGAACCTATCTCCCACCGAGTGCTCTAACCACTAAGGTACCATGAGAGTCCTGTAGCTTGGTGGTTATAGCACTCTCCTCACAAGCGAAAGGACCTGGATTCAATTCCCCAACAGAGCAAAACTTTGGTCATGTTTCTTTACTCCACACGCCCCTGTTTAACTAGCAGTAAGTAGGAACCCAGTTGTTAGTGGATTGACGGATTACTTTTCCGGGGATAATAATCGCTTCAAAAAAATAATAATAATCTGGTCACTTAATCCATAACTGTTCATGGGACATTGCTGCAATTGGCTGCTGCGTTTTGCCCAGAAAATATACATTCAATTCACTTTATAATATATTCTGTGAAGCACTTGAGACGTCTAGAATACATGATAAGGCTCTATAACAAATGCAACGATTATTATTAAAACATGTCATAGCTCTCTGGGTTTCATGCTCTCACCATATCCTTCAAAACCTTATTTTTCTAAAAGCACAAACATATCGAGCCTCCCATTGAATGCATTGTTTTGAAGGAGACATTCCTACATGTCAGGTGCACAGTCGTGCTGATGTGTGGGCAGCCTAACTCCACGAATGAGACCAAGAGGTACAACTCCATGATTCAAAGCCCTCTTGGGTATGTTGGTCAGTCCTAATTGCACATGTAATGTACTGGGCAGTTTTTTTAGTTAAAATAACATTTGCTGATGCAAGACAAGAGGCAACATTTATTTTCCAACATAATACTTGCCAAAAAACTAATTTAGCTAAAGTGTACTATGGCTGTGGAATTACAATAGTATTAACATCATTTTGGGTCATCTGGGTTCCTGACAAACAAATTCAAAAACTAAACCATGCTTTAGAATTTCCAAAGCAAATAGAGTCCAACATGTGCAAATCACCTACACATAGAAAGTTACCTGTGTCTGGAAGGGAATACGGACTCTCTCCTGCCTAATTCTGAAGAACACACATTACAAAAGCCAAGGGTGGGGAGGGGGGGGACCACAGATTATGTGTCGAGATACCTGGGTTCGATTCCCAACAGGGTGAAACCGTGGGCAAGTTTCCTTACTCCATACACCTAATAATAATCCCTCAAAAAAAATAATAAATTGGTCGTTTCAATTCACGACTGTTTGTGGGACACTGCTGTGCGCAATTGGCTGCTGCATTTCACCCATTAATATACAGTCAATTCGCTTTACAGTCTATTCTGTGAAGAGCTTTACAGTCTATTCTAGAAGACATGAAAAGCGTTATATCAAATGCAAGGATTATTATTATTATTACAAATGTAATTTTGTTGTTGTTGTTTCCTCACGCTTTTATATAGCACTCCTCACGCTTTTATATAGCACTCCTCACGGAGGGTAGCGTCCCAGAGCGGTCACAAAGTGGATAGCAGGTATCAGTTTCCTGATGAGCAGCACAGCTGACAATGAAATTCTACTTCATTGTGACTTTTAAAAAAGCACAAGGAAAGTTTAGAGCCATAAAGCTGAAGCACAAAAACACACCACGGCAGAGTTAACTTTGAACAGTTTGTCTCAGTCACCAAGTTCAAACTTACACTTGGCATAAAAGACTCCCCAGAGCACAACCACCATAATTATGGGCTTTCCTCCACCACCACACCCACACAAATGAAACTGTGAAGGGCAGATCTATTCCTTCAGCAGTTCATGAACGTCAAAGGGCATTATTAACATCATGCAAATCTGGTTGAATTATACAGGCTTCTATATCACTTTGTTCTAATAGGAAATGCACTCAATGGACTGTAAAAGTACATTGTAACATTAAATCCAACATTCACCTGGTACTTCCAGATAAAAACGGCTGCTGTTTTAAGATTTGGGAGAATTGAGAAATCCATCAACTCTTCGTACCTGTGCTTGGATAAATATACAGTATTTCACCATGTACAATAACACAGCCAAAATATAACGTCTCCTTACCAGTACTGGGCATGTGGTTCAATCTGGTGGGCGTCAACAACTCCACAGACTGGTCTCTGCCGGAGGATCCATCTGAAATTGAAAAGGATTTAGCCTCATAAATAGTCTGCAGCATCTGTTCCAATCCATGCAATTGTATTTCCAGTGGCATGGGACTGGAGAGAAATACTATCTCCACTACCAAAAATAATAATCTTCTGGGATAGTCCTTCACAGTGGTTATGTACTGAAGTTTACATATAATATAACGCCCATTTATGCAGTGGATCTTCCGTCATAGACAATGGAGTGGTTTAATGCAAGTCTGTGAATCAATCTCTTTAACAGTCTGTGCTTGCAAGATAAATATTCCGTGGTGAATGGCAGTCACTGAAAAAAAAACAGGTCATCAATCTTATTTTTAATCTACGGGAAAAGAGATATCGCAACGGGGGAGGTGGGCGGTGTGTGCAATCCGTTTTTCATGTGATTTACCAGCAATATGGCTTTGCTGTTGACAAAAATAGAACCCCTGGAGGTGGGAGCTAAAAATAGACTGGAGCACTGCAGGAGATTAAAATTCATAAATGCGAGAGTAACACGGTTTGTCAGGACTAAGAGCCAGTGGCTGCAAAGCAGCTTTTGTGGATCCTGTCAGGCAACATCCACCTTTTTTTAAAAAACCAGAAAACATACTCAAACAACAAATGGTTTTTGTACAGTAAATAATTTCATGTGTTTGTACTGCACAGTGCTCTGTGCACCACCACACGTTTGCAAATATTAATTGTAATCTATATCCTTCAGCGAAACTTAAACCCTTTTCGGTTTGCAGATTTCTTTAAAAAACTGCAATGCACAGCACACCCTCTGCTCTCAGATCCTGTCCCCTCCAGAGCAGCGCAGCCCTCAAGGAACACAAACAGTTCATGTGGCAGCAGCAGCCTCCCTGCCTGCCTGCCTGCCTACCTGCCATGCCGTGCCTGTCTGCCGTGCCTGTCTGCCCTGCCTGCCGTGCCCTGCCCGCCTGCCCGCCCTGCCTGCCCTGCCCAGCGCTGAGCGGTCAGTGGATCTCAAGACGCTCAACAGTTTCACTTCTCTTCCCAGAATTTTAACCCATTGAATGCGGCGATGGGGAACGCACACAACTTCCCACAGCGCTACAGCGAACACCTTTACCGCAATTCAGTCCGACAGACATCGAAGGCAGATTATCTTAGTGCAAATCTAAGAACCGAAAATAATGCTATCTTTTCACAAACGTAGGTCTATTACTGTGCACCACTGTCTGTAACCAGGAACTGTAATGGGTTTGCGAACAGACACTGGACCCCAACAATGGTGGACTTTAGTATTGGTGATCACAACAATGAACACTGAGTGAAGAAGGAGGGAGTCGTCTTGTTTTCATTCGGCAAAAATAAGTGTGGACGGGGAAGTGTTTTGTGGCTTCCACGGACAAGAATAAAAAGCATCACATACCCGTCCAGGAAATTCAAGTATGACAGTAAAACTTAGGAATGATGGAAGAGATGATGTCCCCATAGTATCACATCAACACAGAGCCACATCTGCAGCGAAAGTAAACTCAAGAAGATGCTCCCAGTGTTTGGCAGCTGAAGCCCAATGATGATAATAATAATCCTTGCGTTTGATTGTGGAGGAAAGAGAAAGTCTTTCACTTGATGTTTTATGCATTACAGAAGTCTGGATTGTCAGTCGTTACTGACGCCATCCGCATGGAAATGAACCCCCGATTCACTCACTCACTCAGTGCTGAGAGGCTCCAACAGTCACTGTATTTCCTGCAAACCCGGAGCAGCGGCTTCAGTGAGTGTGTGCACTGTTTGCTGGCGAGGATTGCACCTTTATTCTGCTCTGATGCTGTTTGCCAGAGAGAACAGATGAACACTTGATCACCATTTATTTAGATTGGTTTTTGTTCCACGGTGAGCAGCAGGACACGGCTCACTGGAGTCCTCCTGCAGCGCCTCACTGGATGTGTGCGTTTCTTTCACTGCTGCCGAGGATTTGGTGCTAAATGCGTCAGTGAACACACTGCCCCGCACCACATTCACTGAATTTCAGACGGAAACTGTGGCAATTTTTGTGCTGTCATTGTAGCCACAGGAATTCCCGACTCTCTCAACAATACGAGAAACCCCATCGCCTTTCTATGCTATGAATTGTCCAAATTTGGTTTGGTAAATTCTCTGTTCACATGCACTTGTTTTGTAAACAAGAGCACTGAAGCCAGACATGAAAACACAGAGCCTTAAACACTTTGACTCCCAGTACTGAACTGGGTTATGAATTTAGCTCCAGGCACAATTCAAATGGTAATTGCATAGCGTAAACAATGCTGACAAAACTTAAGCATAATGTGTAGCACCAGTTGTACCGCTGATAGCCATTTTCTGCACTCTGTCAAGATTCTCTGTAGCCCTGAGTATAACCATGAATTAAATAGGCTTGGACTAGAGCATTGGAATTTATCTGGACTGAGAATAAATTAAGTTTTATTTAGCATTGTTCATTCTGAACATGTAGTTGGGATGTCACCACTGGATTCACATTAAAATATTAACAATATCTTATACCATTTAAATTGTGCCCTGGAGCTACAACAACAACTTGCATTTATATAGCGCCCTTCACACAGGGTAGTGTCCTGGAGCTAAATTCACAAGCCAGCTCTTTGCATGAATATAATGTGAACTACAACATGTGGTAGCACATATATTAAATGCTGGGGTGGGATGATAATACAAGGCTACATCATGAAATAAAATGCAACAGAAAGAATCCATAATCACAAGTGTGGTGTTCCTACAAGGAGCTGAATGCACTATTGGAAAAGAGAAGAGGTTCTCAATGGTTCCCTATGTCCTTCAGGGTATAAGCCATGATAAAAATTGTAAGCTCTTTCTTATAACAGTAACTTCATTGTGCAAGAAATGTGTCTTATAACACAATATTCCTTGCACTTGATATAGTGTCTTATGTCTTTGAACCATCTAAAATCGCTTAGCAGGATGTATCATGGAGTGTAATGACTGCATTTTGTCGGCAAACATGGCAACCAAAATGCAAAACCCAAACGTGCCGTCACCCAGTGTACATACACCCGATCCACAAGCGAAGCCTGTATAATTCAACCAGAATAGCGATCAGGAGCAGGAAATAGTTTAATTTTTCCCCACTGGACAGACTGGTATTGCAATCAGCAACCTTCTTATCAGTATGACCCTGCGATCATCAGGCAGAGGCTTTATCCACTCAACATCAGAAAAACTACATATTAATTAACAACAACAATTTGCACTTATATGGCACCCTCCACGCAGGTTAGCGTCTCACAGCGCTTAACAATGGCGGAGCCTGACTCTAAGCCGGGGGGAGGGGGCTGTAAGCGCAGTCGAAGAGGAAAGTTTTCCCCCAATTAATTCTCCACCTGAGGTAATTTTCATGGTAATGACCAAAAAATTCAAAGATAGGCTCTTACTTTTTTAATATTTGCCTTTTTCTGATGTTAAATATAAGAATATGTTTTTTATTTTTTTGCAAATTTAACTACAAAGGGGCCATCAGTGATAGATGATCAAAATGCTGCTTAGCACAGCTCACTTGTAACTGTGACCTTCTTGTTTCAGATTAACCAATGACCTCTACACAGAGATTCTTTTATCAAATCTTACTGCTAGCCATGAGAACTGGTTTAAATTTTGCTGAGTCTCAGCCTGTGCATTTTGCTTCAGGCTTCAACAAATTAGTAGAATGCCTTGCTTCTACAGCGTAAAATAGTTAAAAAAGTTAGTAGGAATGAGCCAAGTCCTTTTAAGACAATCTAACTTCCTCTTCTCTTAAAGGAAAGAATTTAGAGAAATAATCAGTGTTTTCTGCTATAACATCACTTCAGTAAAGTTTTTCCCCCATTTAGGAGATGTAAATTTGCATATTTCTGGGATGAACAGACCTTTTCTAAACAACAACAAAGCATATTTGTACACAATTGCTCTTTAACATCTCACATAGAACAAAAACTGTTGAGGTAAATCTATGAGTTAAGAATAGGCTTGTTTACCCATATTTAAAAGTATAAAGCACAAAGGATTAACCCTTACAACATCTAGCATCCCATGAAATGCATCAAACATTCAAACACTTAAACATAAGAAATGCTAGACGAAAAAAGACCAAGGTCCATCTAGTTCGCCTTCCACCTTCCTGGTGGTCGCGTGCACATATGTTCCATACTACCTATGTAGTATATCCCATAATGTTATTTCCAAAAAGAAAGCTATCTAATCTGTGCTTGAAAGAATGAACATTTCCTGCTTCAACTGTCTCCCTAGGCAGCCTGTTCCACAGGTTGAAATAGTGTTTGCGTAGATGCGTTCTGAATTTAACCCCTCTTTAATCACAGGCTGTGTCCTCTGGTTAAATGTCATTTTATGATTAACATAATTGCATGATTAAAGTCATATTTTTGATTTCCACCTCCTCCTGGAAAGTAAATGCAAATATATATCATGTTGGAACAGGGTTGGATCTGGCACGATGCCTGTCAAATAAGTTGCTTCTACACCACAACACTCAATTAAAAGATGCCACAATTGAGAATGGTGTATGTGGAAAAAAAAGTAGTTAAATCACATTTAAGAAGGAAAAAAATGTGTTAAAAAAAATTCTGGACAGGGTCAGAGGTGTCAGATGAAAAAAATGTAATTTTGTTTTTGTACTGCTGTTCACAGTTTATTTACATTTTATATTTCAACTGTTAAATTTTGGAGATGTTTTCAATGGTGTAATAAGGCACTTTATCAAATATAAGAATCTTTCAGCAAGTTGATCCAAGCCGAGTCATGACAGAACTTGCCTCAAAGACACAGCATCCCACCCAAAACAAGGTGAGAAGAAGTTGTATCACAGCATGCAAAAAAATCACATCATCAGTTCATAATGGAGTTATAGAGGCCTGATAGCAGCACATACCCCAGCAGGAGGCTCAATACCGCTTTGCTTGCTTTAACAGTTAAACAAGATCCAATCAAACACTTCAGGATTATCCCATGAGAAGCAGACCACATCGG